TTTTTCCTACTATAGGTTTTCTTTTTCTCAACAACTTTCAAGGGGATTAACATTTCCATGAGGGGCATCTGTTTAAGCAACTACTACAGCCTGGCCATTTAGCCATACCTGCCTACCTACTGATTTTTTCTGTTTGTTTGTTTGTTTGTTTGGGGGGGAGAGGGTGGGTGTTTGTTTGTTCCTTTCTTTGTTTATCAAATCTATTTTAGTAAAATGCCTTCCTCTGTGGCTACATTTGAGTACACTTGAGAGGTCTCCATTTTGCATCTATCACATGCCCTCTGCTTTTTCATTTCATGCTCTTTTCTGACAAGTTCCCTCATTTTTAAAATACTGCACTTTCAAAAGTTTAGTGCTATGGTGCTAGTTTTGATGTGATCCTTCCCCTCGGGACACATACATTATTTATATAGTATTTTCTTTTTGAAACTATTTCCTTGCTTTGCTTGAAAGCAAAGGGAAAAAAAAAAAAAAGCCTCTCTGCATGGCTGGACTGGACTAGGTGTTCCAAAAAATATATATTTTTTTTAATTTTTCTCTTTAAGATACCAGTGCATTTCCTGTCTTACCCTTGTCCCATATGCAAAAAGTGACAAGATTAAAATGCAGGTATTTGAAGTCACTTGTGGTACCTGTCTGAGACTCAGGGCACAGATTTTACTTGTTGAAAAGCTGTGCAAGTTTGCATTACCTCTCCTTGGCTGAGGAGATGCAAAGGAATCAATCCCAGGTGCCCCCCAGGGCTCTTTACGGTTAGTTTAAACCAAACTAAACAAAAATCCTCCCATAAAACACAGTCCACTTCTTTCTCCCAATACGGTGAAGGTGCTTTAAAATAACCTGTCCTACACATCACCAAAATGGATTAGGAACACTTATTCAGTTGTCTGTCCCTAGCTGAGGAAGAAAGAGGAAAAAGCAAAACACTAAGGGGTAGTGAGCACCTGGCTACATTTTTCAGGGCCTTTCCTTGTTCCCACTATCATGTAATTAATAGTGTCTCCCTAATCAGGCAGCTGATTATAACCCTCACATATTACACATGAATATTAATCTGAGATCTCACTACATGGCTCCTCTTCATAAGCAATGGAAGCAGGAAGATCCCATGGTTGAGCATCACATGACCTGCCTGCCATGGCATCTAACTTTTCTGTTAAGCTTAATCTTTCCTTTCCTCATTTTCTGTTACACCATCATGCTTCAGCATGTGTTCACAGTGCCAACCTTCTTTTCCACTGCTACAAGTTCTGGCTCACCAATGTCTGCATTATGTCTATAACAGCAGCACAAGGAACATATATAGATATTATTTTTGGCCATATGTTCCTCTTCCTCATGCCCCCTTCCAAGTGCTCAGGCTAATATCCTGTTGCTTTCTTGGAACATATCTGTATGATCTCACAGCCTATCCATCCACCAATTGCTGAGGAAGATATGTGCATGATCCAAAGACACCAGTTGGCCCCAAAGTCTGACTGATGCTTGTGGTATTGCTCTAAGGTAAATTTAATCCCTACTTCCCTACCAGGAAAAACAGAAAAGCCTGAACACGTCTTGCTGAATTACACCACCCCTTTCCATTGCTTTCTGCAGAAGTAGTACATAAGATTATCTCTCTCAAGAAGAAAACAACATATTCCAACTGAATATATGTTTAGATAAACAGAGAGAAGGACTCAAGCACAACCTTTGCTGCCTGCTTGCATAAGACACCTCTCTCAGTTACTCATTCATTTTGTCCAGCTTCATTTTCAGTATTCTCAGCATCCCTGGAAACTACACTATGATATCAGAATCAAGTCCTGAGATGCTACCCCCAGATTCCTGGCAATAAGGGCCAAAACCTGTGGTTAGGCATCTACTATAATTTGTCTCCAAATCAGACTAATAAAATTCCATACTGTGTCTATTTTAGGATTTTTCTAAGGAATCTATCACCGTGGAATCTAAATGCCATATAACAATTACAGATAACACTCTGTGCCTTAAGAGGCAGTCTACTCGGCCTCCCTTTTTCATTGTGTGCCTGTGTGGAAACTTTCCTTCTGCTTCCCTTTTTGCCTTTAACTTCCTTGTCTCCAGCTGGGAGTTGGTCCTGGCAAAGTGCCCTTACTGGAAGAATGCTTCATCAACATGGTGGGTACCACATGTAGATCTGAATATGGGTCAGTGCTGGAATCAATCCAGCTCTCTATTAAGATTTTCTCTAGCAGAGGACAAGACACCAAAAGTGTTGGCAATGTTGTATTCTGGGTCAATCAGTTTGACATGTTACAATTACCATAAAATTACAGAGTATTTATATTATAACATTACTAGTTGTTAACCTAAAGATACACACAATAAGGAAGGCCCATTAGGACACACGTAGACCACTCATGGAAATTAAATCTCTGAATGACCAGTTTCAATCGAAAATGCCTACAAAAAAACAGAAAAAAGAGGAGGTGCTTCAGCTCATGGCTATGCTGCCTAGGAGGAAACAAAGACAACACTGTTAGATTTTGAGGACTGCAGATGGACAAAACACCTCAACAGGTTTTGCCTGTCATCCTTATCAATAGAATGTAAAACCTGAAAACCGAAGACTAGCATAAAGGAAAAAAGTTTGGCTTGTGATAGCATCCTAGAATAAAAATTGGCTTATAATGAATGATAAACACCAGCCTGGTACCCTAATTTTGAGTAGCCTTTTTGGTTTTGAAAAATGTGTCTTCACCTGTAGCCACAGTTGACTCATGGGGAGGGAGAGAGGGGTGGAGAGCTAGAGGCAGCTCTACTTTCGTGGTTTGCCTGCCAGGAAGGAGATAAGGCCAGGTAGCTCCCAAAGGATCCTAGGACGACAAACAGAACTGAAACATCCAACTGGCATAACCAGAATGCTTCATCCTAAGTAGCTCCCAGCTGTGCTGTACCGTTTCTGAAGTTTATTCATTCCATCTTGAACACTGTTGGCTTATATATGCGCCAGTTACTATAATCTCATACTTACTTATATACAGATTTAAAAGCAGCACTGTTTTATAATGAGAAAATAAATCTGATATTTTTTATTTTTAATCTTGTTATCAATTTATACTTCCATCAAAGGGCATTCAAATTCTGTCTGACACTGTTGGACACATGACTAACATGCCCCTACCTCATTCACCTGCTTCAATTTTTATACGATTGAAAATATTTTTACTAATAATTGAAAAAATGTATGAAACCCACTGAAATTAAGGTAAAACATTACCTTTCAGATTCTTGTGCTTGTGATTCTTTACATATCCATAAGACTACAACAAGAACAAAAGACCAAATACAGGCCATCTAGTTTTGTAAGACAATTGCCTTCATCTTAAAAAGGGAGCAGTTTTACCAGCAAAGACCACTGGGTCCATCGTGACCTGCATGACTGGACTGTATTGACCGAGGAGACTTCAGATCTTATCTCAACCATAAGGCCAAAGGAGACTGTAATCTCTCACCATGTGTCAAGCAGCTCTGGGCCTGAGTCTCACCTCAGTGATGTCTAACTGAGCATTACTTGGTAATAATTACTATATTACCAAATAATTAACACTACATATTGGTACAAGGAGTCTGTTTTAAGATGACATGGGCTTAGTTAATGAAGGGGTTTATGTCAGGTGGGGAGCAGAAAAGAGCACAAGGGCTTCAGATAGCCATCAATTTGATAGCACACAGAGACAGTGAAAAAGTCCCTAATTTTCTCCAACATACTACCTGTGACCACCTATGGAAATTGCCATGCCAAAAAGGAAGGGATAGGCCCTCAACTTGCAAATAATTATTCCAAAAAGGCAAAAAAAGCAGGGAACAAGAATTTCTGCAGAGACTAATAGGGTTGTTCTTTACGAAGCAGAGGACAACAGGTCTTTTCCAGGGAATAGCAAGCTTTTAGGTGATGTGAGCTTCTGTGCAGGCTGTCAACAATTAAAACCAAAAACTTTTCTTATCATGGTCTATTCCCATTCTTTCTACTCATCTTCTACTCGGGATGGCCATCTGAGTCCTCTGGTCAACATGGAACACCAAGTCCTGAAAGAAAGATCCATAAACACCAAACCTACTTGTACCTGATAAGGATTAGCATGATACACCAAGGATGTCTGGGAATAGTGCATTGATCCACAGTAGAAGAGCTAAGGAATGAGCCTTCAGAATTTAGGGGGATGATTTCAGACCTAGTAAGGACCTGAAATAGAGCAAGATCTGCTGTTGTGTTCCGTGGAATCATCTGAATCACTGAACACCAAAGTGAATAGTTACTTGGGTGTAAGCAAGGTTAGACTCCTGTCTAGTGATCTCAGATTCTGCAATAGCATGTATAAAAGCTGAACAGGCACTTCTGTCCCTCTCCACACCAGCCTGGTACTCTATTACATTTGTCTAACACAGACAAAATAACTGCAATAAAACACTTCACTGTTATTATAAAACTCAGTTGCATTAACAAGGGAAACTTTTTGCACTTCAGCTTCTTCATCCATGGGCTAATGGCACAGGTACCATTTTTACTTCACCAAGCATGTTCTACAGCTTGCAAGAACTTTGCCTGCTTGCAGTGCTTGCAGGCACTTTGTATGTTGCAAACATGCTGTATTTCAGCTAAGCAGACAGAGAGTTTCGTTACATTTTTGTATTTTCCTGTATTAACACAGATGTTGCTTCCTTCAAAAGGCCATCTTCAGTTTGAGCCTAACTTCTGGTGGTTCCGGGTCCAGAACTAAATCAGTCACAGACAGCTTGTGCTGCACCAAGTTGACATAACCCAACACAGTTTCCACATTGCATAAAATGGAAAGGCAAGCAAAGTAAAAAAGTTATTTCTTTCTCTTTTTATGGTCTCTTTATTTAAATAAAGGCATCATTAGTAGTATAACCAGGGAAACTTTGTTCTTGCAAATGCAAATGAGATAGGTTTGTTATACTATCATTTTTGGATTGATGATTCAAGTGTTTTGATTGTCATTAAACGCTTCCCTTACCTTCATGTGTGATTTGAGATTGTCCTTGCGTGCACAGCGAAATGGACAGAGTGGACACTGATGACTTTTCAAACCTGTATGAATCACCATGTGCCGTTTCCAGTAACTCTTCCTCTTGATAACCAAACCACAGATTGGGCACTGGAAAGGTTTTCCTCCTTCTTCTTCTGAGGCTTAGCAGAAGGGGGAAGAAAAAGAGAGGATCCTTTACAGCCACTTGTCAAATACTTTCCCCTTGTAAACATACTCAAGATACCATTTTTCAATGTTAGAATTTCATCTGCAAAGAGAGACACATCAGTTAAACAACAAACATATACCAGAAATTTCAGTTCCTCCCCACTACATATCCCTTTTCCCCTTAATCTAGTTATTCTTCCTCTAAGAAAGGTCACCATAATTTACAAAGGTTAATGTCCCAAACATCCTTTGGCTAATCAGTGGGGACACTACTCTATCTCACCTGGTCCTGATGTTCCTTATAATTTAACTGAACTGAGATGGATGTCTCTCATAAACATAATTTTGCAGCTTCTTTCCAAAGGCTGGTTGTAGTAGGGTATGGAAAATATGCTTAGCTGTTAAAAAATGATCCATTTCCATATCTGATGATTAGCCAGGAAGGAAGCAGGATATAAAGCATAGAACAATCCACAACTTTTATCAGAGACATTTAAATCCAGAAGTGAACAACTTCAGAACCTCTGCTGCTGAAATTGTTTAGTAATGATTTGAGTAGATGCTGCTGCAACTTCAGCCATCAGAGGTCTTCGGCTCGTGGGTTTCCTTCTGTCCCTCTAGTTGCTAGGGCCTTAAATCTACTGCCTTCCCAAATGTTTGCACTCTGCTTTACTGCCCAGTTCACCTAAGAAAAGGATTTGGTGGCATTTATCAGGCAAATATGCTTAGTCTACTGAGTGTGGAACCATCATAAGGTTGAAAGAAAGAGAAATTCCTTGCTGCTGACTTTACACAACTAACCACCCATTCATTCATCCTCTCACCATTATTTCCTCTGCTTACTATAAAGAAAGACCTAGTATTACTGTGGAATTGGAAGCTTTTTTCCACATTGTAAAAGACAAACTCTTTTCAAACATCCAGAGCTCAACAATGTGCATTTAGAAGTTGTCTCAGAATATTTAATCTTGTTATTATCAGTATTTCCTACTGATAAGGATATAGCAAACAGCAAATTCCGCTGATGAGGAACTGAGTGATAAAAACCTCATGAAAGATTTGTCATATCCTAGAATATAATTCTTGCTACTAGGTAGGAAACAAAACCACCGTAATTCAGCTGATTAAGTAGTTATTATGTAAGTACAAAAAAGGAAGCATTGTCAAAGCATGCACTTCTGTGAGTTCAGAAATTGTCCTCATGAAATATTCTATCCCACTCAACGTATTATCAAATTGTTCCCCTTTCTGCACCTCCAAAGAGTAACCCAAAACCAATGCTATAATTGTTTGTGTTTCAGTTTTTAAATATTTTTACTTAACTTTTCACAAAAGGCAGCAGAAAGACAAACCACAGAAAAAAATATATTGGTAACATTTTTACCTATAATTTCTTTTCCTTGTATCATATCTTTTCTCCAGCCTCTGGTTATCATCACAAAGGATTCACAAAAAGAAATGTGTAACAAGCTATTACCTGTTTTCCATCCCATTAAAAATAAGTCTCCAAATAAGATGGATCAATAGAAATATAGCAAATTACAAAATATGCAAAGAACTGGACTGACTGCATGTGACTACACCAATAACAATGACAATTAATGGCACACAGGAGTTATGTCAATGCTCTCCAAAGCTGAACCATCCTACATAAACCTCAGCATAGGAAAGAAAACTTTGGGCTTCAGTTTTTCTTCATTTATGTTTATGTTTATTTCAGGTCATTCAGTGTC